GGGGCTGCCCAAAGGCCACACTGGCAGCGCACACCTCCTGCATCCCACTTCCAGGGAAACAAGAAACTCCTGCCACTGGGATAATGACCTTTCTGAAAGCACTGATAACTCTTCCCCTAAAAGAAACATCCTGGATTATCGTCCTTTACACTACAGTTTCCCCTCTCACTACCACAAACTCTGCCACGTATAGCTTTTGCCAAGATATTTCAGGAAGTGAAGATAATTACTTCTAACTACAATAAAAAATAATCAAGACACTTAACTAGATGTGAACTCAGCTTTGGGGCTTCCGGAAATTTCTTAGTGAATAGCAACCACTATGTGCACCTGTGTAATGTGGAGACAAATAATCTCAATGGCAGCACATCACTGAATTCCTCTTTTGAACTGCAGCTATTACTATACATGACTACAGTACCTTTGGAGTGGCAACTTATTTCTGTATGTAAAACCAGATGAAAGGAAGTTCTAATACAACTCCTTGCAAGAAAAAAAAAAAAAAAAAAGATAACCTCATAATTTGAACCCATTGTCAGCAATGGAGAAAATTCGATCCAATTTTGGCTTAAATAAGTAAAAATACAGAAAAATTGTTATGAGTATTTTCCATCAGTCCTTTAAAAAACAGTATATTGTAACCAATTTCTTACTTATCACAGTCTTGATCTTTCGTCAATGAAGTTCTATTTCATAGTTACAACAAAGAATGCTTTATAATACTAGAACTTCCTTTGTCAAAAAAGCACACAAATAAGAAAACTCCCTGATCAGCAGGCATCAAGGCCCTGTATTGCCTATTTGTCACTGGCTCAATTCTCTTCTAAGAACATACCTTCTAGCTAGAAGCTTTCACTGTTTTTCCGTTTTAGCAACTCTTAATCCTAAGGATTTGTGCCCAAGCCAATGAAATTTTATCCAGGCTGAAAAGTCTCAGACAACAGTTGTCAGAAATACAGCATCACCCATAAGAGGTTACTTCTAAGATATCTGATTTTATGTCAGCGTTAACTTTTCCATTGCTCATGACATAAAAAAAAAAAAAGCAAGATTCCTATGTGTCTTCCAGGTATACAAAATCCTCCAATATCTTTTCCAACAGTGGCCCAAATTGTGAATTTGCTCTTGTTCAGAGATATCTTGTTACAACTTGTAAAAACAATATTTTAAAACGTGTGCAAAGTCATTTGTCCAGATGATTTTAAGTCAGTTCATTTTGTATTTCAATTTGTATCTCCAATACAAGCTTTAAATTTTTTCTTCACATGCTATAAAGAATTCATCATACCTTGCAACATGAAATATACAATCATACATTAAAAATTACAGCCAGCAATAATGAGAATGAAGTTTTTCTACTGTAATTGTGACTTCGGTTTCTTTAAAATAGAATTCTGACAGAGCTGCATGTATGGGTGAAATACCTCATAATAAGCATTACATCAAGATAACGGACTCAAGCCATAAAGACACGCACTGCCCATTACTGTACACAATAATGCCGTCTTTGTTCATTGTGGTTTTTAAATACATCAATGCCAACAAGTGCTTAAACTATGCTGAGAATATGCTCTCAATGAATAAATGCTAAGGAGTCGTGTATCAGCAAATACCAGAACTTCCAGCACAAAAACTCACAAATATAATAGGGGACTTGAGCTAGCAGAAGTTAACATTTACAAAAAATTGGGATTTGTTTCTCAAAGCATGTTACAAATTATTTCAAGCAGATGTAGAATCAAAACCTTCATTAATGAATTTAAAGCTCGGAAAACAGCTGCATTCAGTGCAGAGAATCATAGTGATCTAAGAATTTTTGTTTTGCTTTTGTTTGGCTTCAAACAAGTTAGCAGAAGTCACTGGGCACTCCTTGAAAAACAGTGTGGAATATTTTCATGATACTGGGAGCTTCACTGTAGAAGCTGGAAACCAACTCTGTAAACAGAAAATTCCACTCAGTCCATAAAGGAAATAACACTATGTATTGCCTTAAGATTCAGCAGGGTTAGGACCAAAGATCATAAACTCTTTCAAAATATAAGAGGTGTTTATCATGCTGAGAGACAGTAAGTAGAAGAGCATCAGAATTGCGCATTTCACTGAAAGCACGCACTTAAAATTTGGAGCTTACAGAGACAGTATGTTTTTTAAAGAAAAATCTGTTCAAAGGTAACAGCTAAAACAAGAAACTGCCAAAAGGACTGCTCAGGTGATTACATAATATGTTGCAAATTTTCAGTTTGTTTTCCTATGTCTCACGTGTAAAAATTAATCTTCTGCAGAGTATTTTCCCAGAACTTATCTTGTAGCATCATAATCACATAAGCAGAAAAGTATGAGTAATTTAAATGTCAGTTTGTCCCTTTTTCCATTAAAAAAGAGAAAGCAAGATGTAGTCCGAGTAATAGGACAGGTAATTTGTTTTTATTTGAACACTTCATTAATGTTAATGCTGTACCTTATAAAGCATGATGCAGGAACATAAACAGCTTTACGATCATACAGACAAGACGGACAGAGAAGGTTAATTCCATAATCTATGTTACTTAATGACACACCTAAATTAACAACTAGAAGAACAAGCTGTACTGTTTATGCAGATGTGCTCTAGCACAGTACTGCGTTTTCAACAGGGACTGATACTTGCAGAGAAAGAATATAACCCCTTTTACACAGGCATCACAAATAACAGAGGAGTACTTCTTCAAATGTCAGCAAAAGCTTTAATTCCTATTTCTTTCTTTTATTTTTCTCTTTAGTGTTGCCATTTGGGGCACACAGAAATATGATCACTTCCATTAAATAATTCAACTTGTGTTTACTTTGATCAGCTGTGACAATAAATTCGTCTGACTGTTTACAAGCGTAAAAAGCATCGCCTTCTCTATTTGATCCAGTTTCACTACATTTCAATTTCAGTGACTGCGTCTAATTGTGCAGCAAGATGCACAAAAAGAAAACTGTGATACCCTACAGGACATCCCATTTCAAGTCAACCTTTTACTTGTTTCTCTCCATATTCATTCCCTCTTCACGTTTTCACAACTGCTTCAATTTCTCCAGAAGCACATCGTCCCAGTCCTACATCAAGGAGATTAATGAACAGGGATGCCATCTTTGCATCACAAAATAAATAAATAACTAAATAAATTACATGTTAATATTTATGATAGGACCTGAACCTTTGCCACTCCAGAATATGATGTGAGAAGAAAATTAAGATAAAAAAAACTTGGTTTGTTCTTCAGAGAAAAAAACAAGCTACTAATTTATTTAAGGAAATGGTGTACCAAATGGAATGAAAGGATTTTTTATTTGCCTTTTTCTTTTGAACTCTGAGAAAGAATTTCTGCACAGAACCATAGCACACACAGCTTGGCTCATCTCACCTTCTTACTTTCTCTTAACAAACACATACTTGTTAGCAGTTTTCTGTAGTTGATTCAGAGCCTCAGAATCTTCTCTCTGAGCAGTTCCAGCCTTACTCCAATAAGAATATAATGCCAAGTTACTGATTAAACATTAGAATTGCTCCATTGTTTGAAGCTCCAGCAAGGAATCAGCAGTAGATATTTAACAACAACAACAACAAAAACCCCAAAACAATAAAATAACAAAAAAAAAAATCAAGAATGCTTACAATTCTCTGATGTGTTTTGGAGAAGTCTAGTTTGCTCCAGAGCATACTGGATCAAACTATCTATCTAGTCTTGTTTGCGTGTAGTTACTACCTAACATCCTAGTATCAGATGAAGAGCACAGAAGGAAAAGCAGCCTAATTTTTACAGAAAAAAACAGACATTTGTATGAAAAGAAAGTAATGGGGAGAAAAGTAAAGTTATTTTTATTGAACTGTCACTTCTGTAACCCTAATCCTCTGATTCAAATACTATGTTACATTTTCCTTTACTTTCTTACCTGTGAGGCACAGTGTATGTTGGTAAAAAGCTTCATAATAACAAGCAACATAAAAGCATCCTGTCCAACTTGCCTACTTATGTCTCTAAAAATTTCTCTTACATGTTTTGTAAGGAGCAGTGCTTTTTGTTTAAACTTATTTAAAAAAAAAAAAAAAAAAAAACAAACAAATAAATAAGGAAATCCCCAAGTTTGATTGTGAACAAATTTTCTTGTCAGCTACAAGCAGGCACTTGCTCATACATAAAAGTCAATTTAAAGCTTAAAAAATAAAAAAAATAAAAAATAAAAAATAAAAATCAGGGAATCTTTACTATCTACAGCCAATCCAATTTCTTCTCAGCAAAATGATAGCTGAGCAGTGACAGTCACCAGTCAGGTTCAGAAGGTATTTTAGCTAATGCTCTATTACAAATGTGAAATCTCAAACTAAGTTACTTGACTAAAATCAAGAAGATTGTTCCATCATCAGTAGAAACAAAATTATACAATCATAGAATCATAGAATGGCCTGCGTTGAAAAGGACCACAATGATCATCTGATACAATGATCTCAGATCCTTGAAGATGATTTCTGCCAGAGCACAGAGATGACCAGTACTTTTCTATCTGAAAAACCTGCACCAATTATCTCTACTACAAAGCCCACACAAAATGAGGTAAGGAGATTCACCCAAGATTTACAGGAAGACTACAGAGCTACAAACACCACCGATACACCCAAGGTACAATGAATCAGAAGTCTATCCAAAAGCACTTAAAAGCAGGGCTGACCAATTCTTTAGTTTGGAGAAGAAAAAAAAAAAAAGGTAAACGTTAAGTATGTAAGATTTCAAAACACAGACTAAATACCATGAAGTAATAAGTTATTAAGGGACACTATTTTTGCTGTAATTGCCAACAAAACCTATAGCAAATGCCTACAATTCAAGATGGCTGACCTTCTAACTATCTTGCATTAACTCCAGCACAATTACAAGTAGCTAAACCTTGGATGAGGAAGCACACGGAGTACCAAAAAAAAAACACAACCAACCAAACAACTTGAAGCGCGTGCTGGGCATTAAAACACTTTTTCCTACCTCCACTTTTGTTCGGTAAAGAACGAGACGCTTGAGGCTGCCCACTTTGGCTATGTGGTTGAAAGCCTGAGGTGGTATCTTATCACATGATGAGAGATTTAATTCCTGAAGATTAGGACACGTTTCAGTAATGACCTCCAAACACGTTTCATTGAGGAAATGGCCACAAGACAACTCAAGACGTACAAGTTCAGAGCCACAAACTTTCAAGAACCTGCAAAAAAATTCACATTTCTGGTGAAAAATAAATCTTTGAATAATGTTAAAACTGTAAGCATGGTAAGCATGGTAAAACAGGAAATACTTTCTTCCAGCAACGAAAAACCTACAGACCACAGCACTAATTCAGATATACATCTGAATTAATTAATGGAAAATATGATTAGGTTAAAGTAAATTAATCATAACCACTCTGAAGAAATTACTTATGAACCAAATCTGTACAGATCCTGAAGAGCAAACTAATGAGTTGCTGAGTTAGACATCAATATTCGAAAACTAAAGGTGGTCTGACAGTTAACACTGTTTCATCAGCATTAGATACCATATGTAACCTAGATATTATAGTTTTTGTATAAAACAGTATTTGACACATACATTTTAAGAAACACAAAAGACTATATTAAGCTATACATGATATGAGGACACTGATGTCATTAAAGCAGCTGTAGAAAACAATTCTACCTTGAAAGCAAATTGCAAAAGCATCACTGCAAGGGGTAAAGAAAAACAAAGGTTTTGCTGGCCTTGAATATTCAGTTTAAAAAGTTGGAAGATGCTTCCTTCTTGCAATTTGCTCCCAGACAATGAAGGCATTACAAAATGACACTAAAGAATAATGAGGACTTGATGTCCCTTTCTCAAGATGCACGTTATTAAATCTTCTTTCCTTACTTTTCATTATACACTTAGTCTACCTGTTATTCATGATCATCAACTTTCCTGATTCATCTTGCATGCTACCCAGCTCCCTTTGCCTTACTTTCCATTATACAGATCCTATGCAACAGGGGGAGAAAAGGAGATTGCAGAGTGCAACCTCCACTCCAGGAAGCTTCCAAGAGTCATCTGAAACTTCAATTGACCTGATCCAGAGCTGAGGTCAGCAGCACCTCAAGTGGGAGCTTGGAGTAGGTGACCTTCAGAGGTCCCTAATGTTCATGAGCTTACGGAAAGCGACAAAGAGAGGCTCTGAGAAAGAGAGACAGAGCACTTGGGGGTTTTGCTAAGTATGCTCTTAAGTGGCATTCAAATCTCTTCCATTATTTTTGTGCAACCCCACAGTTTCTCTTCAGAATCCATTTTAGCTTGTAAAAAGTAATCAAACATCAAGCAGTTATTTGTTGTTTTCATACCAGATACCTTGAATACACTGGTAAGCTCGACCTGTGAGCTTTCTTACAGAAGAGTGTCAGAAGCAAAATGACTTGACAGTTCAGCAGAATTAATACCAGATATCTAAACATTAGACTGCTATTTCAGACCAGCAGCAGAGTTCAACACTGTCGTGGAGAAACAGGAAGTAGATTCCTCGGAACTTTGATTCACTGCTGATTGCCAATTAGCCAATTCCTCTCTTCAGTGAGTGCTTTAACAACACATTCATATGGCTTCTTTCATCAACAAATCACTGGGTTTGTTCCAATGGTGATAGTTTCCATAAAACCCTGTCAATTGCCATTTATTATGCCTCTAGCTTCCAATTTGCTAATGGATAAATATTTTATTAACTATTCCATTACAATAATGGATGTTAGGTTAACTGCCATATAATTTAACAGGATTCAGCCATTATAAATATTGCTACAGATCAACACTTTCCTTCTCCTGTCAGTATTAGAAGTTAACATTACTAAGTCAGAGAAGCATTCTTTGATCCCTTAGACTTGGATAAGAAAAATCACACCAGCTTAAAGAGTTATCCTGGCAACATTTTATCTTCATTATACTTAGAACACAAGGACTGAGCAAAACCAGCAATAGCAATGAGCACTGCACTTATTTGTGACTTTACTTCCTTTTTAGAATAAGTTATTTAGGAGACATTAAGAAGAAATTAAGTCGAGGGCAGTAAGGGAGACACAGCAGGGTATAAGAACAAACTGACAGGCATGAAGGGAAGAAGTGAACAGAAACAGAAAGGGAAATTTGAGGGAGTCAGCAAACAGAACACTGCAGAGTACAATAGTCAGTACTTCTGAGTTCTCCCCATCCTCAGCTTACACTGCACAGCCTGCTTGGGGCAGGTTTTTCTAAATTCTTTCCATGCAGATCTCCAAAGGCTTATAGCAAGGCAGAACATGGGTTCTCAGGCTTTCCGAACAGAAGTGGTATTTCCTTCAAATTCCTGAGACTCAGCAAATACTGGAAGGCTGCCTGGCAATGACTTACTTCAGACCAGCATCTCCAACAAAAGCACTTGCTATCCAAAGGAACACTTCCTCACATACCTCTCCTTTACTCACTGAAGACTGACTGCATCCCACTTATAGGATCTCTTCCTTTCTGCAGTCACTCATCTTACTAGTCTTTTTTCTTTATTACCAGTGCTTCAGACAATTTCTGAAGTGATTTCCTTTCTTACCTATTATGAAATAGGATCAAACAACCTAGAAGAATCTAAATACGTACACTTAGTTTGCTAGGCACTACAACAGAGTTTTAAATTCACCTTCATTCTAAACTACAGTATTTCAGTCTTTTTGTTTATTTTCAGAGAATCATAGAATGGCTTATAAGTTGGGAGGGACCTTTAAAAATTATCTAGTTGCAACTGCCCTGCTACCTTTCTCACTTTCCAGCACTGCTTTGATGTTCATCTCCCTCCCAGCTCTATCCCACCTTAGACTTGGAGAATGAGTTCTGAAATCAGTCTGTATCTAATATTTCCTATGATTCAAAATTAAAATACCAAGGTACAAGAGAAGCACTGTTCATGCCAGAGTTGACTGCCTAAGACCTCCCAAATAAAATCCCCCAAACGCTTTTAGACGTGTACTAAAGAGGGTTTTGAACACACCACATTTGCTCTAGTGGTTATTTTACAGAATCATACTGTTTGTACTACCAATGATACACAGAAATCTGCACGCAGAAGTCTGTTTCTAAGCTGTCATCATCATTCACCTGTTAAAAACTCAGAGCAATTATTCAACATGTTGGTGTTTACTATACCTCCAATCAACCTGCTTCACTTTTCCTATACAGGTCTTATTGTCCCATGCTGACATTCCCATTGCATGAACAAATTCACTGCACACCTCTAATGCCCAGAGAATGCATTGATTATGTGAAGTTTTCTGTGAAATCTTTGTTTACTCCCTGTCATTTTACATTCCAGACACTTGAGATTGCTCAAACACTTGTCTTTCACTTTTCTGTATACTTTTAGTGCAATCTAAAAGACAAAGTTCACTTAATTTATATTATATGCTGAAATGAAAATTTTATGATAGTCATTTTTAGCCCTAAGGAGCAGATGCTATCAATAAGTTAAAATACCTTCAGCTTTGCCTCAGGATGTTCATATGCCTGAAGCATTCTATCTGCTCATGATAACACAAAATTTGCTTCAGTCATTTCTTAAACTACTCTTTAAAAAAAAGTTTCTACTTCAGTACACTTTTGCAGGAAAACACATTTGGATTTTTTTTTTTAAGCAGCACACATTTATACAATTCACCTCTTCTAAGATTCATAAGAAAATATGGATAAAAACATTCTAAAGATATTTTCCAAAATAAAACTCAAGCAAGAGTACCATATCAATAGGCATCTACTTGCAGAAATCAGAATCTAAACAGGACAGCTGGAAGAATCAAACTAATTCAAGTGGTTTTCAACTCAACAGTGCAAATTTTAATACCAAGTACTGAGAAAAGTGCAAAAATAAAACAAAAGGAGGCTCTGCAAAAGTTAAATGTCTCTTATCTACTGAGGATAAGGTAATTAGGTTTTAGCATTTTGTTGACTTTATACTGCAGCAATTTGTTGTATTTGTAAGGTTACTTAGGAATTTCGTTTAGAAAATAACTTTTCCTCTCTTCAAATGGACAAACATAACGTGGTCTTTATAAGTAAGGTAATGGTGTCCTTCAGACTGTTACAGCTTCCAGGCAGAACTCTATATTTCCACTGCAGTGGCTTGAAGCTGTTCATGGTTGCTTGCTTATACAGCAGCTTACCATAAAATGGATCACAGAAACATAAAATGCCATGGGTTGAAGAGGACAGTGATCATCCAGGTTCAACCCCCCCTGCTATATGCAGGGTAATCAACCACTAGATCAGGCTGCCGCCCAGAGCCACATCCAGCCTGGTCTTGAATGCCTCCAAGGATGGGGCATCAAACCTGAAGTACTGGAACAAGCAATTTAGGTTAGTTTGAGCCTCAAGTTACAGGAAGACCTTATTGTTTTTAACCAACTAAACCCAAAATGAAAAACAAACAAAACACAGCTCATTATTCTACAGGACACCTCACTACCATACCTAAAATTTTATTTGCAGAAAGAAAGAATACCAAGAACACGAAAAAGTCAGAGAAGCATAAAGAGAAGCCAGCAATTGTTTTCAGAAACACACCGTGAGCAGCAAGATAAGATTTTACATTAATAAAGACTTTACATTAATAATACAGCGGTAATGTCCTCTGCTTTCATACGTAGAGTCATAAGTATTTCATTCTTGCAATGGACAATTGTAAATCAAAAGCATGAATAAGTTTTCAGGAAGGTATCAGCTGGTAACTGAGAAAACAAGCAATGCATCCTCCCTGGACGATTGCCAAACCTCCTCTATTGAAGGTAAACTGAAGAGTAAACTAAAAAGAAATAGAATTCCTAAAAAAGTCAAAGTAATTCCATTCTTTGGAAATTCTGGTTTGGCTAATAAATCCCGAAAGTCAGGCGAGGTGAGAAATGTCTAGAGATCCAAAAGGAAAAGCTGGGAGTTCATGACTGGCACGTACTGGATCATGCGATTAACACGTCACGGTGATACAGTAATTTTAGAAATGCTGACTAAAAGTAAATGCTATTATTTTAGTAGTTAAAAAAAAAAAAAAAAAAAAAAACCCAAGAAAGTAAAAACAGTTAATTAGTTAAAAGATGTTTTCAACTAACTGGAAGCCAAATATGACAGGATTGCAAGTTCACAATTCGCTGAGCTTAGACATTCATTTCTTTCAATGCTACGCAAAATTTTTAACAGCACTGCATATTTAAAAGAAAAAAATGAAAAATACCATATGAAGACACACATCTTTAAGTTTTCATAAAGACCAACTTAATAAGCTAAACATCAGAAAGCAAACACTTCACTATTTCAGAGTTGAATTAAAGCTTATACATTTATATTCAGCATAATCTAACGTGAAATCCAAATTTAGGAGATATCTTGTATTCAATTCAACTAGGTGATGCCCATCTCCTTTTTCTCCCAACAAGAACAAAAGAGCACAGTATAGGGCCCTTCGGTTATACCTTAAGGTCAGTAAAAAGGAAGTGACATTCTCATCTTGATGAAGTATTTCTTCAAATGATTGTCTTCTAGTGCCTCGAGGAAGGCACTCAGACACCAAAGGAAAGAAAACGTTCCAATACCTTTTAACCTTTTAATTCAGAAAACAAATGAAAGCCAAGACACTTTTAAATATATTAAACATTTCTGTTTCTTATCAGTCAAGTTCACCCTCTGTTGTTGATTATCTCTTAGTTGAAACAGCAATTTTTGTTTAAATGAAATGTGTTGATAAATGCTGTTTAACTAATGCAAATGAGTGAAGCAGCAAAAAAATGATATGCTAAGGAAGCAGAGAACACTGATATTATACAGAAAAGAATCCCTGCATATTTGCTGCTTTATAGCTGCATATTTGCTGCTCTATAGCATAGAAATATTTTCAACTCAGTGTGAAGACGCACATGCAAACCCCCTGCTTTCCAAAAGAACTAATGTTTTAAATCATTTTTATGAAAATATTTGCATTTACATTGCACTCCAGTGATTACTTAGGGCCCATACCTTGTAACCATGCACTGTAATCAGTTTACTACTGCAGCCATTCTAATACAGTCCTGCTGATGACTCCTTTGTACACAGAACAACTACAGATGCTTTCTTCATAGGATGAATTTCCTATTGCTTAGTTCTCATGGAGTCTTTCAGAATCCCAGAAGAAAGCAAAACACTTCTCCCACTGGAAGAAACCACTCAATCACAGGCAGCTTGGATCTTGCACACTACAGACAGAAAAGACTCCTACTTCCCTACTTAGCACCTCTTAGTGTTTTAACGTCCCCTCCCACATCATAACAATCACACTCTTTTTTGGTAAATCAAAGACATTTCCTGTCTTTTAGCAAGGTTTCAGTTACTCAGTGACAAAGTACTGTGCAGCAGCTCTGCAAACAGCTTGTCAAAATACTGACAAACATTTAGCACTGACCTGCTAAATCCAGAAACAGAGATGGCTCCCCTGTTTCCAGTCCAAGATAAATTCAGCCACTGGATGAGAGTGCAGCGAGACTGTAGGTGCTCCAGAGATGTGTCGTTAATTCTTGCCCAGTAAGGCTGTAAACTGAGATGAATGTACTGCAGAGGATCACAGCAATGTTGATACAGCAGCTTACAGGTTTGTGCTAGTCTACACAGGTCTGGTACTGTAAGGTGACTCAAAATCAACTGGATGAGCTATATTAAAAACAGGGGAAAAAAAGGCACAGATGGTCATACAGCACTTGAAATGCTAAGGAAAATCTGCAAAGGAATAAGAAAATGCGTTCTAACTTCAAAGAAAGGTAAGTTCTTTTACTTAAAAATAACTTCTCAAATAGAACATTGATTAACTATTAACTAGGATTGCACTTCCTTCTCAATTTGACAACATAATAAACAAGAAAGGGAAAAGCAGATCAGCAAATGAAAGTGACAGGAAGCTTTCAAATCAGAAGTTTCTTTACCTATGCTAATTTAAACAGTAATATATATGTAAACACTATGTTTACATATTTCCCTTCATAATGTCTGTACTTTCATTGATTATAACACTGTGCTGGGATCCTCTTTATTCTCTGGATTTAGTTATAAGGTGGTAGCATAGTTGAAGAGTACATGATAATCAGATCATGCCCCAGTTTCCCCACAACCTGAATTGATTTCAGAGTTATTCCTCTGCACCCTTCTCTAAAATAAATCAGTGTTTTGTCTTCTACCTGGTATCCTTTTCCACTCTCCCACCAGTGCTGGACTACGCAACAAGATAAAAAAAAAAAAAAAATCAAACAGATTCAGCTTGTCTTTTATGAAGTAATCTCTTATCTGGTTGTATGCGAGAGTCAAAACTGAGAAGTACCACCCCTTTTTGCCTTTATCAAATTGAATCATCTCAGCTTCAGAATAATCACCAGCCCTTCTCACTAGCACTACTATATACCTTTTTAAAAAGACTTTTTACACTCAGATGAAGAAAAATCCCATCTCCTATCAAGCTCTGGTTTTCTTTCTGAAGAAAGGTTAACAGAAATACACATAAGTAATCACTTCAGAGAATAACAAAAACCTTCAATAAAAATTTCTCCCTTAGCTTAGAAATCTGAGAGAAAGTGCACTTGTAAAATTCTGTCTAAAAATTACGTTTAGTTTACTGTGGCTCTTTCACAGCTATCAGCACCAGCACTCTGGTTATGTAATTAAGTGAGTAAATCGCTTCCAAGCAGAGGAGGAAAACTAACTCTCTTCAATGAATCAGTGAGACAGTGTAAATTAAAACAACAACAGCTTAATCTGAAGCAAGCCCTATTACTTCTGACTCAGCCCCAGATTTACTGTTTGGACATCAAACATTCCACATATCTACGAACTCTTCAGCAACTTAACATTAAATCCAATGCCACAGAAGTGCCTGCATATACTGAGGTTTTCTAAACCTTGATTTCAAGTCTTCTCCCCTGTCCTAAAAACACCTCTGGCTTTTTACCTCAGCTGGAAGCTGAAGATCAAGGCAGACATTACCACATAACACCACTCAACAAAAGTCACTTCCTAGACTGACACTTCGGTTGCTGGCGTTTTGATACAACACATTGCAAGCTGACTAGGAGCTACCACACATGTGATCCCAAGCTAACATCTGGGGGTTATTTTGCTTTGTTCAGACCTACTGTTCAAGCTTAGAAGTTGCTGTTACATCCTTTTAGCATGTATCTAAATACATACACATATTTTAAAGATCATCTATTAACTTTGAACAATTTTTCAATATTCTGAAAACAATTTCAAGCTGTCCTGCAACCTTTCAGCTACTTTGCATTCTGTAATCCAACTAAATATCTATTTTGTCTTCTCCCTCAGACTTTTCCAACGTTTATTTATTAAGTTTTCTATAGCAAAGAGCTCAGTCATTATAGCTGCAGTTAGCTAAATTTATGTCTACAATTAATTTGGTATAATTAATGTCTGGTACAGAGAAACACTAGTTCTGTTCATTGGGGAAAAAAAATTTCTTTATGATTTCTGAGCAGCAAAAGTAATGGTGAATGAAACCACAGATGCCTCAATATACTTTACACTCACTGATAACTTTAAAGAGTATTTCATAACACAGAGATACTGCAATCCTTCCCACCCAAGATGAAATATCTGGGATTAAAAAAATATAATGCAATACTTCATATTTTGTAGTGATAATTTTTTTCTTGCTTTTGATTAAACAAATATAACAGGATCCAAATCTACATGCTAATACCCATTAACCACTGCTGGCATCTGTCAGCAGTCTGCTATCTGCATACATGTATCCCAGCACAGAATACCATTTGATACCACTGTGTGTGACAAAACGTGCTCCCGTTGTGCTATGCTGTGCTTACCAGTAATGCCACGAACGCCACAGAATGGAATATCTACTTTGAAAATCTATTTACAACATTGTTTCCTGCCATCACATTTTAGCTTTAACTCTGGATTTATGAAAAATTATTACAACCACGGTTGCTTCACACTCTTATAAGCTGTTCAGTAAAAACACAGATAATTGGAAAAATAAAAAGAAAATATAGCTAAAACAAACGCTGCTTGCCTTTGATGGATCAAAAATGAAAACAGAAGTACTTTCTGTCTCATTTCCAGGCAAAACACACCGTGTATGTCCAGATTCAGAGATGTGATGAGATCAATAAATGCTTGAGAGAGCATCCAAAAATTGGAGGTTTCCAGATAGTAACTCTCAACAACCCAGCAAACATCAACATATGAATTCGCTGTGCTATCTGCACAACAAAAAGATCCTGAGTCATACCCGATTTGCCTGCTGTTTTTGTTTAAATCATTGCAGTCCCTGACTGTAGCATCTTAAACATTCACCTTCATTTTGAATTATAAACTCATACATCTTCAAAAAACAGAAATCTCATACAGTGCAAAGTTTACTCATAAGCTCAGACAGGATCTCCATCACACACTTCAATACACAGGATAAAACCCCAGGCACACAGCTTCTAATAGCACTTACCAATAACGTTTCTCCAGCTTTTTTTTTTTTTTTTTTTTTTAATACGAATCACAGCAAGAAATAATCATTTATAACTAATAATACAATTTCTTTGGTCAGAGTACAATAATACAGAAATTGATTAGGTCAGAAGACAATCCTCAAATGTTTGTCAATCCTAAAATTTCTGCACTATGAATTTCCTCCTTCAATTTCTCTATTTGAGCCCTTCCAATATGAAAACACATCGGCCTATACAAACTATAATTCAGGAATACTTATTTTTTGTTCTGCAGCCAGAGCTGCCACAACTTACTCCAAAGAACTAGAGATGACATCAAGAAATGCTGAGATAAAGGATCTGTGCACAAAAAGGAAAAGAAGGATGAAAGGAAGCAGATGATGACATCCTGTGACTACTGGCATTCCTCAGCATAGTTAAAGAAAACACAGTCCCTTGTTCCGTGATCCTATAGCTTGCATGCTACCATTTTAATCTCTCCTTTTCTTTATTCTACTCATGTCAAGTTCAGCTGCACCAAAGCATTTTATAACACAAGAATACAAGCACTCAACCCCTCGGAAATGAAAGGCTGAAGGTTTTAACCCCCACCTTGATGTGAAGAACAGAAAGCATCTTACTGATAGACTGATAGACAAATTATCAAGGCTTCAGAAAGACTAACGCTGCAAAGATCTCCACGAGCCATCACTCAGAGCCTAGTCTGCTACAGCAACTGGCAGTATATTAGCCATTACCTGAAGGGATCTCATGCCATATGGTGATTAAAAAGCTTAAAACAGCCTTTAAGACCCTTGTGAGATTCTCAATCCAAAGAGAGGCACAAAATCTTACAAATTATCTGAAAGCCTGCAAATATTTACTCTTGAAGCATTTGTTCTGGAATGATGCAAGAAGTTTACTGGGAGGAGGGGGGAAAAAGCATATGACTGAGAAATGGTCCTGCTTATTATTTCAGTTCTTTTAAGCATCAGTTAAGGGCCTTACATTTAAGGGCTTGCATTCAATGCATCTCTTAGATTTAAGGCCCTTTCCTCATGGAATGCAGGTGTCGAATCCACACTTAGTGGAGAAACTCACTTTCCCAACAGACACAAATTGCTCATAAACCTTGTGTTATTCTTTTTTTCTGAAGCTGCTTACAACAGCTTCAAGGATGACAAAGATCTGATTCTTTTATTTCTTTATACAAATTTTCAAAACAGAAAGATACTGCATGCTGCAGTCCAAAGTGTTTCTCTTGCTTTGCTGAGGAGAACAGGAGTTAAGTTCTCAGGACCTGGTGTACCAGTGAGTCTCACACTGCACACACAGCACACCATGGCAGGCATTTCTCTCCTTTATTGAAGGCTCTCAACTTGTTCAGGCCGCCAAGTCTGAAGCAGTCTGCAAATCTGAATATGACAAAGGCCTTATTCCTTCCACCTTACAAGCAGTACAAGCTAATCAAATGCGAAAGGACATGAAGATGCTCCTACAAAATCCTCTCTCAACGTTAATTTTGAGAACAAGTACTCTACAGATATTAAGGATGTTAAAAATATTAAGCAGTGCATGAGCAAGGAAGGAAAATTCTCTCATCAAGCTCTTTGCTTCTAAGGAACTCCCTGCCCCAGGATGTGAGCATACTCTTATTTTGTGCAAATTAGACCATAACAATGTTTTTACAGCTCACACTCAGTAAGCCATTCTGAAAGCAACATAATCTAAGAAAGCATGGTCTACAGAAGTTTCAGAAAGACATGGAAAGCAAAAGAACTGCTGTCTATTTTAAGATCAGCATAGAAGACCATTCAGGCTGAACATTTCGTGAATTATGTAGGGTTGTATGAAGAGCCTGAAACAGCTGAAGTAAGAAACAGGCAAGTATGAAGACTAAGAACAGCTTCACATTCATAATGTGCCGCAGGAACCTATAAAAAGATACATCTTCTTCATGTAACATATCAAAGTCAAAACTGGAAGGAGTTGGTGCTTTCTTTACTTCACCAGTACTTTCTCTGAACACTTCCAGAAAAATCTGACACTTGTCATTCTCAAAAACAGCATGTAGATACTGTTCCCATTTCAGATGGGATAAAACGTTGCCACACTACAAAGCACAACATTTTTGTTGTTTCTGCAACCAAGCCTTCCAGCTGGACAGAGAAAGCAGAGACTATTGCTGCTGTCACAAACCCTGTCCAGGAATACTCTTTTGTAGTTTCCTGGTAAGTATTCTAGCCATATTTTCAGGTTCTTTAAATCAAAGTAGAAGAAAAAAAAAAAAAAAGTGTTTGGTATTGATAGACCATATAAATGCATTCATGAAAGCAAACTTGTTAAAAAATGGATAAAAAAGAAAGCCAGTAAAAAAAAAAGTAAGCAGAAAAGCACAATGAAGTACATAGAGACAGAAGATCTTAGGAATAATAAGACCACATATAATTATACATATTAGAATCTTGATGATTTGTATAATTATGCAGAACAAAAATGAGATTAATTAATAGTTGCCTCTCTGATTGGCAACTATACTACAAATCAACTTATCAAGCCTTTTCAAAAAAGACTTCCCAGATTTAAATCACATTTTCTCTGTAATTAATTGTAGACACTAAAAAAAAAAAGAGACATTTACATGTTCTGGACTCAACCACACCCCTACATAACCACTAAACCACCTTACAGATACAGAAGGACCAACAGTGAAATACAGTGACCACTATATGCACCCTAGAGAATTAAAAAAAAAAAACAACAGTGCTGCTGCTAATTCAGGATGAAATCAACACCCTCATTCATTGTTCCATTGCAGCACTGGCAACAACTCATGAATGGAAATAAACATTTAGAAGAGGAGATAATGATTCTCTCTCCTTTTGGTGTATTTTCTTTTTCTTCAATACAGAAGAAAATCCCACAGATCGAAAAAAAGGACATGACAAAAAACACAAAACTATGATTAAATCACATATTTCTGAATGTGTTCTGCAATCAGTGGCAGCATTTCTCATCATCCTCCTCTCTGCTTTCATAAATGAACCTACCTGATTCAAGCCAAAAGCACTCTTTTGCATTTGATGCATTACTGTAGTAAACAAAAACTGTCAATTGTAAGAATTCTGACTGTCAAGTCCAGAGTTCTGAGCACCAAGTAGAAGCTCCTCTCCACTGCTAATCCAGCTTATTTTAGAAGAGGCAAAGGTGATCATTTGGACTCTCCTTTCTTACTCTGACTGGTGTATCAGCCTCCCATGAACAGCTACACTCCAGCAGAAATTTACCAGGTCAGCATGCAATATTCAGCAATACCACATAGGAAACGACAGGACAAAAGATATTTACCTGCAGAGATGCTGAGCCTACTTGCAACTGCTCCACTGGTAGGGGATCTGAAAAGAATACTTTACAACTATTTTCTGTGCCAGTGATAGACTAAAAAGTAGCAAGTGCATCAAAATAAGAGTGTGCAGATGTTCAGCTATACCTTTTTTTTTCTTTTTTTTGTGTAGCTTGCATCATGATTCAAAACACCTGCATAGAATACGAACATTTTATGGCAGCTGCAAGAACCAAGTTTTGGGCATTCTATAAAGAGATCAGGGAAAGAAACTTTTAACCAACTACAAACTACCCCTACTTCCAGGTCACATTCATTCTTTACTCTCTTTTGTGTCTTCTTTGTCAAGGACTAAATCTACTTGTATCATGAACTTAGGATCTTCCAGTTGTACAAAGCCAGAGATGAAAGGGAAGAATAACAGGCATAAGAAACTGTACATGAGCAAAGAGAATCCTGAGAAATAAATGTACCATAACTATGCATATACTGGCAAACTGGCTTGTTAATAGCCACCCATTGAAGCAGACTGACTACTGCAACTCAGGCATATCTATACAATAGTTGCAGGAGACTCACAAAAAATGCAAGGAACTGGAAAAAAACAGCAGTCTTGATCACTACCCCATACATCACCTTTACATTCAATCATTAAGACAACTGTATTAAGCATAAACATGATTTTCTTACCTCATAAGGCAGCTTATCAAAATATCCATTACTTGGCCATTCTTTGAGGGCAACGATGCTGAACTGCTTATTGAGAGTATCCATTCCACAGCCATACTTCTCTTCATCCTCATCTTCATCAATATCATTCATATCAATCATTGAAGCCTTAAGTGAGAGCACAGGTCTCTCTTTCACACCATGTAGTACTACTGCATCTAATTCAGTGTAATAGTCCAGAAGAGAACTGTTCACTTCCAGCCGAATTAGATTTGTGGGAAAGTTGATTTGTTTGATACTAGGTGTGAACTGCCGAGCCTGGGGACCATTCACTTTTGTAGGTGCCTCAGACCAGAGGACTTCCCACCTGTAAAAATAAGTGCATGCAAATACAGAGATTAAGATTAAAGTTACAAATCCAATTTCTGAACACAGACAGGGTGCTTTTGCCAGAATTACTTAAGAAGTGAGAAAAACAGTTGAAAGGCCAATGAAAATAGTAATGTTTGTCACTAGATTTGGTAAATTTCCAAAGGATGAGTTTAACAGGACACACTACAATCATAGCACATTTTCTCTGCGTTGCTAACCAAGGAAACTGTATACTCATTGTCATGCACTTGTGTTAGATTACCATTATATACACACAAATTATTCCAACACTTCACAGGTAAGGTTATTGTAACCAATTGATAAAAGATGTCTTGACAATAATTTGCCTGTTAGTACAAATAAGCAGGGAACAGTCCTGTCAAGCAACTCAAATACACACTCAGTTGACTTCACTTCCCACACAAGGTTTTCACAAAATATACAAAGAGGGGAAAAAACCAAAACCCACAGTTCTCACTCGTTCACATCAAAGTAGTTCAAACTGCAACATCAACAAATTCCTTTATAAAAAACACCCATACTTGATTTATCTATCTAAAGTAAGCAAAATATTACTTTTAGAAGTATTTATTTGTCAAATTATCTCATTAATGTAATGGTTAAATATTACCAGAGAAATATAATCTTCACATCATTCTTTAAAACAGTCTGCTGAAAAAAAACCCTAAAATTGTCTAACTGCTAAACTAAAATATTTTTATCTTTGATTTGGTGACAGAAGGTAGTTCAGGGCACAGACAGAACTTGCATACATACTTGCACACAAACTTCAAATCTCTTCCATTAGATGAGCACCTTCTCCTCTCCTCTCCCTCATCCTCAAGTCTAGTTTCTAGTCAAGAAAGAAACCTCCAGCAGTCACTGCTTCTACTCCCTTTGATTCTGTGATTCTTTGGTTTATGCTTACTGCCATCTGAGTGCAAAATCCAGACGCTTCCCCATCTCTTCCACCTTTTTCATATCAGCCCAATCCCAACTCCAAAGATGTCTCTCAGCCTGCTTGTCTTGTCCCACAGGCCTCATAGATGCGAAGCCTGATAGAAGGCTAGGTACTAGGAAGCATCTCAGTAGCTCTGCTCCTCATAACAGTTGTCACTAACATGAGCTTTAAAATATTGTTCAGGACTGACAGGTGCGGTAGAGTGCAGAGAAATATTACACATGGTTTGTTTTCCAGAATAGATTAAACTCTGTCCATTGTAACAGAAAGCAAAACATACGAAAAGACTTCCACTAAAACATAATACAATATTAACAAGGCAGAGAAACTTGATATTTGCTCCAATTTCAAGGATATGAAAATCCATATTGGCTGAAACTTCCATTTCACAACAGACATTTTTAGTAAAGCACAGATAAATTTTCCTATCCTGCATCATGGCACTGACCACAAATACCTTACAGCACAATCGGAGGCTTGCAGATGTCTTCTGTCAAAAGGAAACAAAAAGCAATGAACTAAAACCAAACATACAGGATTGGTGAACACACGGCATGTCAGCAGTACAAACACACTCTGCTGTAAGATTAACAGGTTTGTTTTTTCAATATTTTCTATTTTTGTGAGAGACTTTCTACTAAGAGAATCATAGAATGATTTAGGTTGGAAGGGATCTTTAAGATCATCTAGTTCTAACCCTCCTGCTACAGGCAGGGACACCTCCCTCCAGACCAGGCTGCCCAAAGCCCCATTCAGCCTGGCCTCAATTACCTCTAGTGAGAGGGAATCCACAACCTCACTGGGCAATGTGTTCCAGTGTCTCACCACCCTCACAGCAAAGAATTTCTTCTTAATATCTCAACTAAACCTATCCTCTTCCAGTTTAAAACCATTTCTCCTTGTTCTGTCTCTACATCCCTTCTAAAAAGTCCCTTCCCAGCTTTCCTGTAGGTCTCCAAGGTACTGGAAGCTACAAAACATTTCATTAATTTAGGAGAACTTCAACTCTCAGGAAAAGTATAAGATTTAGTTTCACTGTCACACTCTCTTGCACAGGTCAATTCCCTATGCAAATATTTAATGTTGGCACCACACATGACCTTTCTTGAACATACTCAGATCACCACTTGCTATTTTGTTTAAACACTTTCATATACCCACTCAGATTATCCTAAGGGAAACTCAAGGCTATTTTTTTTCCTCACTAAATAACACGTACAGTATCATCTGCTTTTAACAGAACGTGCCTTAGTTACTGACTTTTCCTTTGAGGCCCTAGAGAGAACATTAACTAGCAGTAGCTCTAGAAAAAAAATGCCTCTGGAGGTCTAGATTCATCAAACTGCAAAGCAAAAATCTCCTTCAGTGCCTCCAGCTACCAGTTTTTGTAATAAACTAGAGAACAGTAAATCAAAGACACAGCAGGACTTTTACAGTCTTGTAAGACTCCGCATTACAAACCAAGTGCTGATGAACAAGATCAGTAACTATTTTCCACCATCCTCATACTGCTCTCTCTTTTTCATCAACAGCCCACTCACTAATCCATCTTCTATGGAGTTAGGTGTTGGTTTAACTACAAAACCTCCAGTCTACAAGGTTGCATTTGTTGTTGTTCTCTCCCTTGGTGACACCACACACAAAACCAGGTCACTGTAATTGCTCTGAGTTGGGGTTGGTAGATATGCTCTTCCCTACTGTACTCATTCTCTTAATACATCCACTGATGCAATTGGAAGCAGTCTCTTCATCGAGGATCAGTGCTTTGACTCTCACTGTGCTACAATCCGAATGGGAACAAAGACTGCATACTTGGAAATGGACGAAAGAAACCTAAGTTTCCAAGAAGCCACAGAAAGAACTGCATTTCTTATGTTCTGGAGTATTTTTCATTACAGTTATCTAAAATGCCTCTCTTCTAAAGGGATTTGAGTTAGTTCTGGTTTGAGGATGGGTACCTGATTAGCTTCTGGGGAAGTCTAGCTTCAAGGGGAGGTCGTGCTCAACCAACCTTGTGGCTTTCTAGGATGTTGTCACATGCTGGGTGGATGGGGGAAGAGTGGTAGATGTAGTCTACCTTGATTTTAGAAAGGCATTTGATACTGTCTCCCACGACATCCTTATAACAAAGCTGAGGAAGTGTGGGATAGACGAGTGGACAGTGAGGTGGGTTGAGAATTGGCTGACTGGCAGAGCGCAGAGAGTCGTCGTTGGTGGTGCAGAGTCCGGCTGGAGACCTGTAACCAGTGGTTACAGATCTGTGTTGGGTCCGGTCTTGTTCAATATCTTCATCAATGACCTTGATGAGGGGATAGTGGCCACCCTCAGCAAGTTTGCTGATGATATGGAGTTGGGAGGATTGGCTGACACGCCTGAAGGCTGTGTTGCCATTCAGCAAGACCTGGATAGGCTGGAGAGCTGGGCACTAAGAAAACAGATGAGGTTCAACAAAATCAAGTGTAGAGTCTTGCATCTCGGGAGGAATAATTGCATGCATCAGTACAGGTTGGGGGATGAGCAGCTGGAGAGGAGCTCTGCAGAGAGGGATCTGGGCATCCTGGTGGACGACAGGTTGGCCATGAGCCAGCAGTGTGCCCTTGTGGCTAAAAAGGCCAATGGCATCCTGGGGTGCATTAAAAAGAGCGTGGCCAGCAGGTCGAGGGAGGTGATCCTCCCCCTCTACTCTGCCCTGTCCCAGCGGAGGGCCACAAAAATGGTGAAGGGCCTGGAGCACCTCCCCTATGAAGAAAGGCTGAGTGAACTGGGTCTGTTCAGCCTTGAGAAAAGAAGGCTGAGAGGGGATCTAATCCAGGTTTATAAATATCTGAGGTGTGGGTGCCATAGTGGTGAGGCCAGTCTTCTTTCAGTGGTACATGGAGACAGGACAAGGGGAAACGGACATAAGCTGCAGCATAGGAAGTTCCACACAAATGTGCAAAGGAACTTCTTTACAGTAAGGGTGACGGAGCACTGGAACAGGCTGCCCAGGGGGGCTGTGGAATCTCCTCTGGAGATGTTCAAGTTTCGCCTGGACACCTACCTGTGCGACCTGGTGTAGGGAACCTGCTTTGGCAGGGAGGTTGGTCTCGATGATCTCTAGAGGTCCCTTCCAACCCCTACAATTCTGTGATTCACTACTGAGTTTGGAACAAACAGAGGCAGCCTTAAAATTCTCCAGAATCTATTTAAACCAAGAAGAAGAAATTGCCTCTGAACAAATATCTGGAAAATTCAAAGAAAATTTCCTGTTTCCCTCCTTCTTTAACTAGGCTCTCTGCGCTCTCAAAAATCAAGTTAAATCAAATTACTGAAGGTAGGACATTGTCCTCAACTCTAGCAGATGTCCTCAAGTCAAGGCTCATGAAAATACTCCAAAGCACTAATGCTGCTTCAATAAGAAGCTTCTACCAGCAGTATGCCAGGAAGCCACAGCCTTTACAGCAACAGAGAGGAAGTCACATCTGTAATGTGTTTAAGAGACTAGACAAAATGGGAACCTCAGTGAAGTTTTTCCATTTAGATTTTATGGAGTTTGTGATAAGGTGATAAGCAGAGTTCACAGCACCTAAGCAGTCTAATTACCATAAAGGAATACGTAGATTTTCATTTCTACTTCAAGTTCAATTCTGAAATAACAGAGGTGGCAGAACAGCAAACAGGAGTACAAGAATGCTCAAAGGGTATATAAAATAGCAAAAGTTATTTGAAATATTTGCCTTCTCCAAATGAGCTTTTTGAGTGTTTCTCAAAAATGACTGTCCCAAAAACCCAAAACTCATTCCTCTGCAACAGTCAACTTGACAAGATTAAAATTTGTTTCTGTGAGGATGTCAAGAAGTAAGAATGCAAACAGTTAGAACTTAGCTAGACAAATATGATACAGCCCGGAAGACCCCTTACCACATTGTAAGGTGTTGATAGTAACAGCAGTGTTTGGGGTGCTTTCAACTGAGATTCACAGGAAACAAATGGTAGAACCACCATTGGAATGCCACTGTCTTTAAAATGTCATGGATCTATTGTTTGAATTCAGTACACTATCTTCCTATTTTCATTCCATTTATCGGAATAGAAGGTTTTTTATTTTCTTATTTTTTAATTCAAGCATGTCTGCTAGCAAAAGAAATTAATGACATTCACACCTGTTTAGACTTCTAGAGAGTCTATTGCCTATATAAAATGAGTTCCCTTAACTAAGGACACTGAATCTTCCACACTATCCAATCTCCTTAGCCTGCTGTTCTCGTTGCAGCAGCTTATAGGCTTCAAGACCTTAAGAAAGAAAATGAGACTTGACTGCAGCAAGCACAGCTAATGCTGAAAATACTGAGCCAGGCTGTTCATCCACAAAAACAAAAATTTTGAACTTCAACTTCATAAGAACATCAAGCAAAATTCTAAACATGAAAAAAATTAAACAGTAATGAATGTGCAGAGAGCCACAAAGATAATAAAGGGCCTGGAGCATCTCCCCTATGAGGAAAAGCTGAGCAACCTGGATCTGTTCAGCCTTGAGAAAAGACAACTGAGAGGGGATCTTATTAATCTTTATATCTTAAGTGTGGAAGTCAAGGAGACGCTGCCAACCTCTTTTCAGCAGTCTGTGGGGACAGGACAATGGAAAATGTCCATAAAATGGAGCATAGGAACCACACCAGTATACAAAAGAACTTCTTCACAGTAAGGGTGACAGAGCACTGGAACAGGCTGCTCAGGGAGGTTGTGAATTCATGTTCTCTGGAGGTATTCAAGACCATCCTGGATGCCTACCTGTGCAGCCTGCTGTAGGAGCCTGCTTTGCTGAGGGATTGGGCTTGATTTCTGAAGGCCCCTTTGAACCCCCTATGATTCTGATTCTGTGAAATGGTATGACCACAAGAAGCAGAATGTTGCCACTGGTAGTTCTGGAACTGCTCCCAGCCAGTAGAATGCTTAGCATCTCACCTTTGAAAATCAACCTTATTAGTGTTATACTTCATCTGTGGAAAACAAGCCAGGGGAAGAGGAATTAAAAATTTTAAAGACACCAAAGTAAATAAGCAAAAAAAACACATAAAACATCCCAATCTACAAAAAAAATAATCGTTGCATAACAGTGAGGACATACAGTATGAAACATCCCCAAGCACTGCCACAGACTAGTTAGAAAGCTGCTTTAGAGCTCTTATAAAAGTACATGAATATGTGGTGTCACTATAAGGTACGTGAGATAAGAGAAACTGTCAAATTAAAGTTAAAAAAAAAAAAAAAAAGATTGAAGAAGAACAAGGACCATTTTTTCTTTTATATTCTAAATTTAAAAATCAAAGTTATTTTTGTAAAGGGAAAAAGTTGAAAACTTCAGGAAAAAAAAAAAATTCCGACTTGAAAGCTCCCATTTAAACACACACAAACTCGTCCTGTCTGACAGCAACTAACAAAGCATTGGGAGAATCAGAATGTTTCAAAAGGATTGATACCAAAGAAGCCAGTAGGGAATTGTCAGGAGTAAACATTCCGGATAGATGAGGAGGAAAACGAAACACTGTCCTCATTACAGAATCTACCTATATCTTATTCATCAAATACAGTATGAGAAATAAAACAAAAGGTCTCCCTTTCCTGGCTAGGCTCAGCTGAAGCCAGATCAGCTGCAACAGCCCCATTACTGCTGTATAGAGCTGTGATTCTTCTGCTGGCTGAAGAGGGACTCATCTCCATCAAGTCCAGAACAAACATTTTTGTGCATTATGATACAAATATATCATATATAACAAAGTAAGCATAATATAACAAAATCAGGGGAGATTTCTTCATCACAAAAAAGATGAGATGACAGTACTGTAATTGCTGAAAGTTGTGGATAAAGTATAATGAAAAAAAATCAAATTAATTGTTGTGTGTAAGCACTAGAATTAGTTAGGCACAATTACATCCCAATCTCAAACATAAATTAATGCTTTCTCCCACTACATGAAGAGTTGATCCCACCTGTAAAAAGACTGAAAAAAGCTGATCTGAGTAGTGCCATGTAAAATTGTAATTGACAAAAATATATAATCCACCACTACTAGAAGTGCATCACTGAGAATCCTTTTCTGAACACCTACAACACATCATTCATAGAACCATAGAATTGCTCAGGTTGGAAAAGACCTTCAAGATCATCAAAGTCCAACCACAACCTGACCATACTATCCTAGCTCTAACAACCCTCCACTAAATCACATCTCTGAGCACCACATCCAAATGGTTTTTAAACACGTCCAGGAACGTTAACTCAATCACCTCCCTGGGGAGCCTATTCCAGTGCATAACAACCCTTTCTGTAAAGAAGTTTTTCCTGATATCCAACCTAACCCTCCTCTGGTGCAACTTGAGGCCATTTCCCCTCACTTTGTCCCCTGCCACCAGTGAGAAGAAACCAACCTCACACTCACCATAATCCCCTATCAGGTATTTGAAGAGAGCAATAAGGTCTCCCCTTAGGCTCCTCTTCCCCAGAAGATTCACTGACATAAGTATCTAGTGAACAACAGGGCAACCTGTGGGCCAGCTATGGGCTACAGATGTTTTTCTACAAAAAATACATGAAATCTTCTTACACAAGGACTGCAGTACACCAAGTCCTTACAGAGCCTCTTGCAGTTTATAAGCTTTTGCACACAGCAAATTCTTGGATGTGGCGACATTTTAAATATTGAGTTCAAGGAAGAAAAAAAGATTATTCAGCTGGCCTAGTACAACCCACTAAATACAACATTTAAACATCTCAGCATACCTTCTCCCTCTTACAACAGATTAGATTCCACAATTAATTTGGTCTCCTTTATCTCAGAGCTGACCACACCCAAAGAGCTATAAAACAAATCCTAAAGATTTTAATGAGTATTTTTCTCTTATATTTTCTTTCAGCTATCCGCACCTTTTATTTTTTTTTTTCAGTGCACTATAATAGCTTCTTCTCATAACATTTCTTGAACACTTCTGGATCTTTACATTAAACTGAAACAAAATGAATTTTAGAAAGAAAGAACTAGTTAGAGACTTCCATAAGACAGCATAAGTTATTTCTCAAAAGTATATCCTTGCATTGCACTGAAGCACCCTATCTTACTATGGCTCTAATGCAATATTGTCAACAGTTACAGAAATAATCTCTACATAAAATTTATCCTATATCATTAAAGAAACAAGTAAAATTAAAATTCACAGAAAATTGGCCAGATGTCATTACATATTAGGTTCTTAATTTGAAAAGCTGTGTTTACATCAGACGGTACTATAAATAAGTTCTATATTAGTGCCAAACACTCCTACTTCTTAAGTTAGACCTACCATTAATAGTTTGACCTATCACTGTTCCTTGAATTCAGAAGTTTAATTTAGACCCACACAGTATCTACTCATTGCATTACAGAGCTGTATAATTCACTAATCAACAATAATTGACAGAACCACACTAAACAGATTACCTGGGAATTCTGAATGCATAACATGACAGCTATTTTCTAGGACATATGAATAAATATCAACAGACTACTAATAGGAAGCATGGAATACTAAAACTTTAAAGTATGCTTTCTAGTTTTATCTTTAAAAAACAGGTTAGAGAAAAAACATCCAACACCTAAGCATTAGCTTATACTTTGGCTTATACTGCCAAAGTATGCACTTCAGGTGAATATACCATTTGCTGCTATTCTGTTTTCCATAGCACATGTCTTGTTAGGTCCTTCGTCCAATAGTTCTCCCTTCCTTTGGAAGTCTGGTATAATTTCATCCCTTTTTGATAATACTTTGCATGTATCTACAGCTTTTCTCCACTGTACTTAACATGTTCTCTCTTTGTCCTATTTCCAGACCTCCTCTCTATGAGCTTCACACCTCATCACACCACACTTTTCCCTCATCATCGTAATTACATTCCCCCAGTCTTAATCTTTCTTCTCCCCAGCTCCATCTTCCCAGCTCCCAAACTGAAACTTCATGATCTTTAAGTTCCTTTCCAACCTGAGTGATTCTATGATTCATCACAAGTTCCAGCTATGAGGAAAAACAAATGGATTGCTTTTGTTCTGTGAAACTGTGCAAAACTGTTCTATGCGACTCACACTTGTTGATCAGATCAAAAATAAATATCAGACTGATGACATCACCTTCTGTCTGACCATTCTATACTTCTGGTTTTACCCTTATTTCCACATGAAATGTGTTACAGTGCCTAATTCCACTGTACATACAACCTACAACCTACTGCACGCAGAGAGAACAGTTTTTGGTTATTTGCAGCAGGGTGATACTGCAGCCACAAATCCCGAATACCTTCTGGGCAATTTTCCCTTATTATTGGAGAGTTACTGAGAAGTGCCAATTCACAAGGGACTTTTGAGCATACGTAGCAATAATTGCTCCGAAAACTCCAACACAAACTGTCTTTATCCAAATTAAATTTGATATTAGGATCTGTGTTAACTGATACAAGGAAATAAATCCACATCTCTGAAGTCGCTACAAAGACAGGTCACCATAGCTTTAAACACACATAGAAATAAAACATCAGGGGGTCAGATATTTAACATCTTATAGGATAAAAGCCTGTTCTAAAGCACAAAAAGAAAAAGAAAAATTACCTTACTTCAGCTGGTGGGTTTTGTGAATAAGGATTTGCAGAGCACGCCAAAATCCTAACTACAGCTCCAGGATGATACGTTTCCAGAATGTGCACTGCAGTGGGATACACTGGCTCCTCAAAAGCAAGTTCCACATAGTCCTGGCTACAGAAGGTGGTTGGAGTCCTCTTAAACGGCAGCCGAGCGCTAGGGCAGTGATCCCACCAGGTCCCATAAGTTCGAAACACGGCAGTCTGAGTAAAGTCACCAGAGCTGGGGTACACGTTTGGAATACCTGCCAGATTCCACATGGTATAAGACATGCTGTTTTCACTACCATAATGAGAGCTGAAATCCAACACTTCTTTGGCATACTGAACTATCTCAACATTGATAGGTAAGGCTCGGGTGTTTGATTCAATAGCCCTCCGGCTGTTCATCTCCCCTCTTGTAGCTGTCCTAGCTCGGCGCCGAAGGCACATGTAGTAAAACATGCTCAGAACTGTTAGCATGGGAAACACCGGTGGCATCTAGATATGACTCATGAAGATGCAAAAGGTCAGGAGTCCTTTATAAGGTGCAATAACAGCTTGTGGTGTTTTGAAATAGAGCTGACAAAACAGAATGAAGAAACACAGTAAGCAGATAAAATATGTCCTAGGAAACAAACTTCAGTCTTTCAAATATCTCTTAAACAACATACTGGTATTAAAACATTAACAAACTATCACATTTTATAACAATTATTTATTTGCAGGTTACTAAGTGTGGCTTACCACTTACTGCATTTAAAAAAGAAGATTATGAAGAAAGATTAGCCAAAACTAACCCTCAAGTAACAAAAACATCAATACTGAAATTGTTATTTTCAAGGATCTACCAAGAGCAATAAAAGAAAAAAATCTTTCACTGACTCACAAAGTCAAGTACGAAATTAAAACTTCTAAACAACTGCAGAAGTTGTTTCCAAATTTAAAAATAAAACTACAAGTGGTGTACTTTTAAAATAATTTAAAGAAAAACCAACTTTTGAAATAAGTAGCTGGATACCAAGACAAGCTGCAGCAAAATGCAGTGCAACAAAACCTAAGTTACTTCACTGCTTGCAATTCCCACCAAAACTGTTCCCAGGACCCAGATTACTTAATTTAAAGAGAGCTCAAATATATCTAGACTATAATGAAGTCTGGAGAATAAACACACTGCTCAAAGACAGTTCATATAGGAAGTTGGACAAAAGTCGGACAGCAAACCTATTACTCCAGCTTGTCATTTTTAATCAGAGTAAAACAAAATTGCTACAGGCAATTCATCTAAACCATAAACTTAACTCAATTCTTCCCAGATCAGAGAACTAGACCAAATAGTTTCACAAAAATACTGCCATTACCCTTTGAAGTTGTCCATGACAGCATTAACCAACCACTGAAGGGTAGCCAGCCTCCTGAAGGATGTTCACAATTCATTAACAGTATCATCTTCTTTTAAGCCACGCAACAAAGTAAGTCTTCAGAAGAGTGAAGGCATCAGAAGCAGAAGTGCCCGTTGAAAGCATTTCAATTCTGATAAAGGAAATAATTTATATAACAATTCAACAGTACTCAAGATGCACTCTGAAAAAAAAAAATAAAAATCAGCACAATTAAAGATACCAGTGTGTTGTACATAGCCTAAACTGAGCCACAAGTAAGACAAACAAGTAGGTTTAACTACTAGAAAAAGACAAAATCAAGATAAGCCTCTGTAGTAAAGCTTTACAACAGTGAAGAAATATTCATAGCTGAATGTTTATTTGTTTTTTCAGGACACAGAAGGGCTGTATCATACTCCCTACTAATACAGATCCTCTTACACATGCTTGTCCCATATTTAGCAGCCACTCCATACCTGCATGACGTAAACTGTCAGATTTACCACCACACAACAGAACTTGGACTGTATTCTCTAATTTCTGCTAGTGGTACACCACACTCTAGGACAATAATACAGCACTGCATAATCACACCCTCCACTACTGCAGACTGTTTTTCTGCCGGCTTCCAGATTAGCTTATTTGTCTGCTTTACTAGGAAAAACAAGGAGCAGTGCCTGCAACCTGCTAGGGGCTGGCACAGAGATGACTAAGCCTATCTCAGAATAAATGTCTTCAACAGCCTGTGCTGGGGTTGCCAGTTAGCGTATCTCAGAGTTTGTGGTAACCGCTGAACCAACAGCGAGGACTCTTCAACTGCAGAAAATGTATCAAACATAATTAACATGATGCCTCTTCATTGCCTGGGAGACAAAAAGCACTTGTACCATTTGGAATGGGTGCATGTGGGGCCATATTTTGCCATACGGAACAGGAAGATAAGGGGCCAGACTTGAGAGTTCTTTTCAAAGTAGAAGTTTAAACTACAGTACATGAATAAGCAAAATAGACAGGAAACAGAGTAGCTTTTGTATGCAGGTCAGTGTGCATGTTACTTGGGTAACTTATACTCACAAAACGCACATATGAACAGCTCTCTTCCGTTAGAACACTGTCAACAAGGCACATGCAGGAATGGATAAGGCTGGCTGCACTGTTTGGTCCTTTTACTCATGACAGTGAGAAAGTTTACCAACGAAGTGTTCAGTTCTCACTTCTTTGCCTCTTCTATTATTAGCTTGTTGTTTAGCTTCTGTCCTTCATTCAGCTTCACGTGTTGACATAGCTGTCAACAACATGAATTGCTCCTGACATTCAGAGCAGAAGGAAATGCATAAGATGGCATTCTGGATCCACTTTAAGCTCTGCTGGAATGCCAAAGCCAAATAATGTCACATTTTCCGCAAACATCCCATTTGAACCATCTTTTAAAAAAGACACTGAGGAATGAAAAGTGCTAGCCCTCCTGATCTCTTCTAAAATAATAATAATAAGATTATAATTTGGGCATGGGGCTGCCATAAGACACAAGTGAAGTTTAAAAATACATTCCTCTTCTGCAGTTTCCCCCCTCTTAAATAAAGTCTCTTTACAGTTATGCCAACAGACATTAAACGTCAACAAACTCACTGGTGCCAAGCCCCAGCATCATGTGTCAATCAGCACAGACATGAGCTTCTCACAAAGTTTCACTGACGAGCACAGTTTGAAACCTGCTCCACATAACTTAGGACTTCACAGAGCTCAATTCTGAGTCAACCAGTTGGGAGTATGTCAAGAGAATTGCAAATCATTGATCTCACGCAAGCACCCTGCATGACTTCACGCCTGCAGTGTGAACTCTGAGGTTCCTCCAGTCACAGCCCAACACACTACCGACCTGCTCGTGATGAGCAGCACAAACTCAGGCACGCTTCCTAGTAGCTCAAAACAAGGAGGGAAACCAGCTGGCTGAGGGCCATTCCCCCTGTCAACTTTAATGACTTTTGTAAAATCGATAAGAATCTGATAGCCTTGAGATTGACATTGTTTCTTCTATTTTGGCTGATATGAGCCAACAGGCTCAAGTTGGGAAGTATGAAGAAAAAGAGCACAGAACATGGCTTTTCATTTAAACATTCTAGTCTGAGCAATGCAAGTAAAGGGATATTAAAGAGTTAAAAGTAATACAGGATATAATAGCTTACGTAAAGTAAGAGGAAAGAGAAAAATATCACAAAAGAAGGATAAATAAAGACTAGGATAAATAAAGACTAGGACTACCATAAAAGTATAAATTCTTCCTCTGACATTTTAAAAGCATTAAGAATTATGAGGATTTAAAAGACCAACGAAAAATTGCTGAAAAAGTGGAAGGATAATAAGCTAGTGAAGAATTACATTAAACATAGATCAGTATGGCCAGGTGATACAGACAGATGTTCAGAAACTACCACTTGGTTAGACTTCTGATTAAAGGGATCTAATCCAGCAAGTATAAAAAAGCAGGCCCAGGGCTAGGCAAAGCATCAGGATAAACATCTCTGGAAATTATGTGGAGAATTGTTTTTTCCTTCCTAAACTGCTTGATAATTTTTAAGAAATCCACTTGGACACATTCAGCTCTATCTTCCAATCACTGACAGTACCTCTGTCCTGTCGTACAGTCATAGAAAATTCATAGAATTACAGAACAGTTCAGGCTGGAAGAGACCTTAAGGTCCACCCAGCCCCAACCCCCTGCTTTGGGCAGGGCTGCCCTGCACCCCCCAGCTCAGCTGCCTACACCCTCACCCTGCCTACACTCCTGCTTCATAGCCACAGAGCAGGCCCTGTTTCTGCAGCAGCTTCAGCTCTGGGGCCTACTCAGATCCATTCTGCCTCTCTCCTGCCAGGGCCAACTTCAGGCAGCTCAGCTCCTCACGGAAGCCTCATGGCTGCCTCACGGAAATCAGGGCTGACACAAAGGGGTAGCCAGACTACAACACCCCCGAGCCACCAAGCTCAAAGCACCATGGAAGGGGTGCCTTCAATTTTACACAAGAGATGGGACTCAGAATCAAATTAAGCTAGATCTAGAGTAAAACTTCCTTTGTAAAGAAATGCTACTTTCTTTCAAAATTCATCAATTACTTAATTGACAACTGTGCAAGGAAATTCCCTTCTATATAATTAACTATACACAAGAAAAGCCTTCTGAGACTAATTCACCTCTTCTTCTTTCAACACATCTTGTTAAAGAAAAATGTTGTTTGTCCACATATTTAACTGGAACAGGCACTGACTAAACAAAAGCATTCAGGAGTGCTAGATTTCTTTGTGTGACTCTTTGGTCAAGAACTGGAATGGGCTGCCCAGGGTGGTGCTTGAGCCACCATCCCTGGAGGTGGTCAAGAAATGTTTATATATTGCACTAAAGGACATGATGTAGTGGGGAAATATTGGTTGTAGGTGGATGGTAGGACTAGATCATCTTGGAGGTCTTTTCCTACCCTGTTGATTCTATGCTACTTCATCCTCTTTTACAGGGCATATCAATTCCACTCGCTAGTATTCAATCTTCTCCCACAAGTACAGAAGTAGGGCATGTGGGCAATACATAGGTATTTACCAGCCAGAAAGCTAGAAAAATGTGGGAAGTACATACCAAAAATATTGGAGGGCACCCAAGCAAAGGATATGTGTAAAAAGCATACATTATACCTAGAAAAATAGAGGCTGGCATATTTTACCCCTGAGCAACACACTGTGTTAGAGCAGAGTTCATCCTGTTTCAAGAGAAGTAAATGCTGCATATATGAGCCACTGGTACACCAAATTTGATTTTTAAAAGACATAGAGGCAATAACTTCTCTTTACAGCAGCTTTGCCAATCTCAAACTGGTGTCTCTGTACTTTCCTTTCACTTGAATACAAAAGAAACAGCAACAATGACAACTTGAATACATAAATGACAGAAACAATAGATTAATGTGATTTAGTGTATGTGTATCAGCTAAAAGATGGTCAGGGAGAAATCTCTTCACACATCAATGCACAGAGAGAATACTGGAGCCTTACATTATAGGCTAAAACAGAGCATTTTTACCATAGGTGAGCATCTGTCGCTATTGATTATGAAGATTATATCAGTGTCTGCACTCAAACTATTGAGATTTGGAGCTGATATTAATTAGAAATCAGTAAGCTCTTACAATGTACTTTATACTCAGGCCCTACTTTCTGTTTCTTCGTGCAATGTCATCTGGCAGTAAAACTCTGCCATTTTACATATGTGAAACTTCTCAACATAGAGCTTGCAACAACAACAGAATGTGAAGACAATTCTGTCCATTTAAAATCTTGACTGTGTTGTTGTCATGAGCAACAAAACATTCACAATCTGAGCATCTCAAATTATTTCACAAGTTGCTCCTCCTCCCTGCAAGGACCAGCGCTCACTGAATGGCTTAGAATGCAAGTACTGCTGAGACAAATGTTTCTTGAGCATCTGTTATGTATCCAAGGTGACCACACTGCCTGTTGGAGTTCGTCTAGACATCGCAGAAACTTCCCACTACGTGCAAATCACCAGGTAAGCCTTTTTAAAAATAGCTCCTAAACAAAGCATAAAGCCAACAGCATTGTACCACTTCATTCTGAACATCTGGCCTACTGCCTGCATTGGAAACCCCCACTTTCAGGAAAAAGGAAAGCCACGTGTCGCTCACATTGCTCCAGCCAGCTCTCTCTTGTCACTGTGTAAAAGCCCAACACCTTGCAGCCCCAAGCTTCAGGAAGCCCAGGTATGAGCAACGTGCAAGCAGCACACCAAACCTGTGCACCACCCCACTCAGCACCGCTCCCAGTAAGCGGACCGAGGCCACTCTCTCACTGTTAGTTCACACCACCCCACACGTTCATACTCTGCACACCGCTGACCGGCCGCCCAACCGCTTCCTTCCTGCAGGTCATCGCCCTGCGGCCATCAGGCCACGCTGCGACCGCCCATGCTCAGACCTCACGGATGACATACAGCTCACACGGCACGCATCAGCCCAACGCAGACACCCACCACCACTCGGCAGTACCCCCGCTGGCCTTGCTTCGCCCCGCCAGCTGCAGCACTACACGTGCCCCCCGCGGGCAGCAGCCGGTACCAGCGGACAGCCCGCCGCTCCGAGCACATTAACGCCACGCGTTCCAACGCCACCGGCGCCGCCCCGCTACGCACGCCGTAGGCACACCTCGCACACCTTCGAGCTCCCCAGACACGTGCGCTCCCCCAGCTGCCCGCCCAACGCCCAGCTCTCCGCAGCTCCGGGCCGAGGCCTAGCACTAGGACCGCACACCGGAGCGTGGCACGAAGCCGAGCTCCGGCACGCAGCCGAGCTCCCGCACCCCGCCGCCGCCCGCGCCCCGTCAGCCCACGCGGCCCGGCGCGCACACACACCTGCGCCCGCCCGGCCTACCGCCGGCCGCCCCCTCCCCGCTCTGCCCCGAGAGGAGGAGCCCAGACGGGCGGCCCGGCCCCGCCCCACCGCCCCGCGCTGAGCCGCCGCCGTACCCGTCCGCAGGGCGGAGCCCCCCGCGCCGCCGCGCCTAACGCCGCCGGAAGCTCCGCACGGCGAGGGAGGGCGGGGCGTCGCCGCACGGGGCGGGGCTGCAGGCTGCGCGTGCCCGCGGCGCGGCGGGGGCGGGCGCTACGGCCGTGACGGGCGGGGCGCTGGAGAGGGGTGGTGGATGGGCTTTGGGCCGCGCGGTGTGGCCGGCCCGGCGTTCGGTGGTTTTAATTGCCGCGTGCAGTCAAAGCAATGGAGGAGGTTGAGTTGAGTCCTTTCTTGCTTATGTCTTTCTTGTTTTCTCTCCTTTGCCTGATGCTTGCTGGCTGGAAGCCCTTCCGCTCTTGTCCGGCCTGTGTCCGTGGTACTTAGTCCTCAAGACTTGGGAAAAACGGCTTGTAACTCCAGCCCCAGCCTGACCAGGCTGTTAACGTCGTGCTGAGGTGCCGGCATGCCATCAGGGAGCCCTGACTTTAGCTGAGCCTAATGAGTACTTGCTCCAGCGCATCACTGTGGCTCTGGGGGCCCTAACTGGCACGTTGCAAAATAAGTGTCATCTTTTGCTTCCGTACTCCTTAATTTGATACACATGCCCAAGCACTCGTGCTTTTTGAAGCCCAGTTTCCGGGTCCTGCGGTGCTCACGGAGATGACTGTCAGGCCATGCATTCCTCCCAGCAGCGCTCCGCAGGAGGTGGGGCTGCAGAAGGCATTGACAGGCTGTGCTGGTGGTGCACAGTGCCACTGGGAAGCTCTTGGGCAGTCCTTGTATTGCCTGGCACTTGCCTTTAGGTAAGAGACCTTTAATCTTTAATGTTTTCTGACAATACCACCCAAGCTCATCGATATCTGTTTTTTTGTACGCATGCAGCAGTTTCATGTGCAGGCAATTAGAGCACGTGGAAAACAATGATCATTAAATGAGGCAATCTGCAGCACGGGCACAAGAAATAAATTGTGAGGCATAAGCCAAAACAGGTCTATTGTGAGACATAGCGCAAAAGAGGTCTATTTAATCTTTTCCGAACAGTGACTAAAGGACAGCTGCAAAATGTAACGAGTACCTTTTCTTAACTTACTCCCAATCCTTAAGCAGTATTACATTAAGATACACACACATTAATAAAATGAAATAAAGCTGAAATAGATGCAAATATCACCCAAAGTCATGTTAGCATATGCACTGCCCCAATACACTGCACTTAGGGCAGGAAGTACTGGTGCTGACTTTGACCACGTGTTCAAAACAATTATAAACATCCAAGCTGACCTTTGAAAATGTATATCATAGAATCACAGAATCATAGATTCATAGAATGGCCTGGGTTTAAAAGGACCACAATGGTCATCGAGTTTCAACCCCCCTGCTATGTGCAGGGTTGCCAGCCACCAGACCAGGCTGCCCAGAGCCACATCCAGCCTGGCCTTGAATGCCTCCAGGGATGGGGCATCCACAACCTCCTTGGGCAACCAGTTCCAGTGCGTCACCACCCTCTGGGTGAAAAACTTCCTCCTAATATCTAACCTAAACCTCCCATGTCACAGTTTAAGACCTTTTCCCCCTTGTCCTATCACTATCCACCCTCATAAACAGCTGTTCCACCTCCTGTTTATATGCTCCCTGCACGTACTGGAAGACTACAATGAGGTCTCCCCAGAACCTTCTCTTCTCCAAGCTAAACAATCCCAGTTCCCTCAACCTTTCCTCATAGCAGAAGTGCAAGTATGTGACAAAAATGTTTGTAGTGAGAAGGAAAAATCTGCTTATTCAGCAAGGAAGCTTTACCTGAGCTTGGGGTAAAGAGTCATAAAACAGCTCCTCCTGAAACAGGGTATCACTTCACTGAAATTTGCCAAAAAAAAGGGAGACCTGAGTTTGTTTTCTGAAAACATTCTGTAAATAAAGCATGGAAAAAAATACCCAACTTTAAAAGTCATCATTTTCTGCTCCCAGTAGGAAACTGGATACTGTTATCCCTTAGCAAAGTTTTGTATTTTAAGTATTCAGTGAAACTATAAAAATGATGAGATCATTTTAATCAGTGGATTATTTTTAATACAACAGATTTAGCCAAGTGTTAACCACAAAGCAGCACTGTGTACACAGGGCACTGTTGCTATTGGAGTGAGTTGTTCTCTCTGTTTTCCTCCACATCCCAGGATATTAACCCACCGCAGGAAACAACTCGCTGCCTCTTGGGCTAGCATTCCTGCTTTTTGATTTGTGAAATTACATATATTCTTTGAAGTGGAAGAGATAGTATGTGAAGTCAATGAGACTCTTCACTCAGTTTAAATGTTTGTAAGTGTTTTCATGAACCAGGGCTAACAAGTCCTTGCTTTCTGTGCCAGCCTGAATGAAGTGAGAAAAGAATTCCCTTCTATTCCTCTGGCTGTTTTTGCAGAGGAAATTTTTTATTTTCTCTTTTATGTTTTCCCACGTCACACTGTTTTGCACAGCATCCTCAGCTATGCTCTGTGAAAGCACCAAATTTTGTAGTTAATTACATTTGCTGCATTTTATCTTTTTTTTTTTTTTTTTTTTTTTTTTTTTTTTTGTCCTGTGCTTTTATTAAAAGATAAAGAGAAGGATATGCCACAGTAGAAGTATGTCCTTAAACATTATATACAGTTAAGCCTCTGCAGTACTTCGTCTAACAGTCTCTCTGCTGCTTGGCACTGGGTCTCAGCAGGTCACACACAATTTAGACTCTGCAGTAACTGGGGCAGGAGCAATATATTGCTCTGTCTTCTGCAAAGCACCTAGTATGTATTATCAAATTATACAACAAGATATGTTGCAGCATTTGAGTACCTAAAGACTGCAGCTAATGCAGAAGCACTCAGCCTGAGATGTACTTAAACTTTTTAAAAAAAAAACAGAAAGAATCAGAAAAAAAAAATAATTTAACAAAATACAGCATTACCTGTCTTATCATAGTTAAAAATCGTTTCTTTTTTATCTTTCTGCAGAAATATACCTATGAGCAGTAATCCTGGAGCCTGGAAAGGATGTGTTAACTGAAGATTTCTTAAGGTTTTTAATGAGGATTAGGAAATGTGAGATAATAAAAAGCACTGTATCCAAGGAGGTTGTTGTGCAAGAATCTTCAGACAAGTTTTAAATCAGAATCCTTTGTCAGCAACAGCAGGATCCAGTAAGGATAATATGCTAATTTTAACCAGCAATAGTCTTCGTATAGGGATCTAAAGAGACAGAGAGAGATACGATCTTATTAAGCTTTTGTGTTGACACTGCACAGCTTGTTACTGTACTCAATTGAAATTTAAGAGTGGGAATGTAAAGCTTGTATAACATTTTAGTAAGATATACAGTAACATTGAAACCTGAATAACAATTGAAAGAATAAGTAAGAAATTCCCTTAGCCCTTGGGCTACCACCCCTTCTCTATTCCAGCAGACAAGTAAATGCTGTAGGTGTCTATGTCGTAAAAACTTTCCCAGAGGCAGTTCTGGCAAAACACCTACTTTCTTCACACTGGACCCATTGCTTTAACCTTCTGAATGTCAGATTTCTGAAGCCAAGTGCTTCTGCTGCACTGCCAGCTGCTTCTAGTCTCTGGGCTTTCCTTGCAGGCTGCTAGGAGTGCAGAACAGTATCATGGGAGTCTGTGCTCAAGGAATGAGGATAGTCGATTCTCTCTTCACATTACAACTAGAAAGAGCTGTAAGGTACATTTGAGCAAGGTCTTGTTTTTCATGATGAAAGGAATGTTCTAATAATTAGCAAGACTCTGTTTTATTGAGTTCATTATATCAATCGGTTGTAATCATTGATCGGCTGAAGTTTCCTTTATCACTCCAGTAGTTTCTCATATTTTCTTGTATAATGGCTGTGTGAGCCTGACTGGCAGCAAGGGGCAGATGACTGGTAGTTCTGAAATAGTTATGTGTAAAGGCTACACTGCTTTTTTTTTTTTTTTTTTTTTTTTTTTTTTTTTAGCACAAAAGCCAAGGGAATATATACAGGTGCAATGCAGTACTTCAATACCACATTTTTTTTCAATGGAGATATGTCATTTAGCTTCACAAAAACACATTGTTAGCCTCTCATCGAGCATCACATAACTATTTGCAGTCCTTTATAACATGTTCATGTGACCAGATATATTTTTATATGCCAGTTGAGTTCCATGGTGGCAAAACTATCTGTGGCTCATCCAAATGCTGTCACATCTCACAATGGCAACATCAGTCAGAGAAGAGCTCAGCAAAGCTGAATGCTTACAGAAGACAAACAGTAAGTTGATTCCACCCAAGGGTCAGAAATCTGGAGAACAGTGAAACGTACTGCGAAGTTCCTATCACTGTTCCAGTCAGTTCAATAGGAGCATTATTATCAGTGCCAATGAACTCAGAGTTGCCAGTGCTTTTCAACCAGTGTCTTAAGCTTCCAATGAAGGATCGGATGTGCAGAAGTTTTCTTTCAGAAATAATGTGTGCATCAACTACATGCAGAAAAGCCACTGTCACCTATATGAATACGCTAACATAAAGACATATGCTTATTAACTAGGACATTTATCCACTGCTAAAGATATCGCATCAGCATGAGACCAAAAGTGATATGTTTAAAAGCAGTATTGAAAATATTACCCACAAATATTGCAGGAGGTTTTACTTCTTGCTATGTTTTATTAATAAATAGATAAATAAATGAATAAAGTGGAAATACAGAAAACATTTTGCAGCACTTATTTTTTGATGGAACAGATCAGACTACAGATTACAATATAGCATTTTATTTTATTGCCTTGTTCTATAACAAAATAATTCCTGACAAACTCTAAAAAAGTTGTGGGAAATCTAATAAAATTTAGGCACTTAATGACCTAATGGCCTCCTGATTAACCTAATGAGTTCTTCAGAATGCAAGGACACAAAAAAAGGAACACATCTCAAAGAGATAAGGTTTATTCATCATCAGAAGTTCAGTCCTCCTAAATGAGGGGTAAGTGGGTTCAGGAGATCCATCTGAGTTTGTCATTTAAGCATTTTTCCAGAATATCGAGCAAACTAGAAGAATGTACTGAGAAAGAGGACTTGCTACTGGC